ATTTCCTCTTCGGTTGGAGTATCTTTCTCTTTCCATTTTTGAGCGAAGGCTATTCGTGCCGCTGTTACTATATGCAGTAGTAAATAATTTGTGTCTTTCTTATATTTTCTTTCTATAATTCCCAATAAGAAAAATTCCGGTTTGGCTTCTATATCTATTTGCAAAATTTCTTCCAACCACTTCTTTAATAAGTTCCAAAGTTTTTGTGCCTTTGGGCATTGCCACCACATGTGGTAGTAATTCCCAACGGTCTCTTCACACTTCCAGCATATCGAGGATTTCCCCTTGTTCATTCGTGCTAATCTTGTGGGAGGGAGGTGCCACCTATAAAACATCTTATAGAGGTTTTCCTTATAGGAAGTTGCTAGAGTAATTTTTAGATTTTTTTCCCATAAACATTTTTTTTAAAGCAAGTGGTTTCTGTAGGCAATATCTCCTTTGCCTGATCTTTTCCTGCTGCTGCTGTCATATGGATTTTGATATGTAGAAAAACAAATAGTTTACTTTCTTGAAATCTTTTCCTCATTCAGTGGAGTGGGGAGAGAGGGGTCAGGCAAAGGAGAGATTGCCTGTAGAAACTGCTTGCTTCCCCTTCCCTCAGAGAACAGATTGGTTGGCAAGAAAGAGATTGCAAGAAAGTAAACTGTTTGCTCTTCTATACCTCAACAGCAATGTGATCACACTGGAAGCGGAGAAGGATCAGGCAAAGACTTACAAAAATCATTTGCTTTTTTTCTCCACCACCACCTCACAGAGCAGAGAGATTAAAGAGAAAAGAGTTTTTGAGAGAAACAGCTTTCTTTCTTCAAAGCCCTTTCTCTCCAATCAAGCTTCTCAGCCAGGGGGAGGGGGGGAAACCATAAGTCAGCCACAGGATGTGCAATGATTGTAATGATGATCGTGTGACTGAGGGAATGTAAGAGAAGGAGGGGGCAGAGTCAAAAGAGGAATCAGCCTAGAATCTATATAGCCACAATGGACTAAGTCCAACCCCTCTTGACTTCCGTTGACCCTTATCTAGCACCAAAATATTGCTAACCATTAATTGAGTAGATTCCTTTGCATAAGCATGAGTATTAATAAATCAGTTTTATTGGAACTTCACGTGTGGTCCTGGTTTTCCCAGCTGACAGAGACAACTGTAAAGGTTGTAAATGGACTGTAGAGTTACTTGTTTTCACCATTGTTGTCCCTTCAAACAGTCTCTAAATAGTCAGTAAGCAGGAACTACCGTATAAGTAAATGAATATTACTATACATAAGCAATTTTGTATGAATGTAATAGAATTGCTGACAAAAAAACCAGATACATGTCCTCCAATTATTTGTATTTGATTAATAGAAATATATCAGTCCAACAACAGTCTGTCTAACTCAGGGGTCTTCAAACTTGGCCCTTTTATGACTTGTTGGACCAACTCCCAGAATTCCTCAGCCAGCATGCCTGGCTGAGGAATTCTGGGAGTTGAAGTCCACAAGTCATAAAAGGGCCAAGTTTGAAGACCCCAGGTCTAACTGAATGTCCTCTGAATAACTAGATACTGTAAAGCATTTTTTCTAATACTACAAATCTTGGCATTGGCTCTTAAGAGATCTTTGCAAAACAAATCTCCTTAATCTATCTGTTCTGGCCAAAACCTTCCTTTTACCCAGGTTGGATTTGTGTTTAACGTACATTTCCATCCCATCTTTATTGTTGACAATTCTCGTTTTTAAAATTGACCTTCAGGTCACAGATTTTGGCTTTGCCAAACGAGTGAAAGGCCGAACATGGACTCTTTGCGGGACTCCAGAATATTTGGCTCCTGAAATCATTTTGAGTAAGGTGAGTGGATCTGTATTCTCCATGGACAGTATGTTGAGGTTCTGTGCCTGGTCAAACTGGGGGAGGGCTCGGTGACACACACAGCCCCCCCGCTTTTTGAATATTCCCCTTCTTCTAGTTGTGATTTGAGTTTTTATTCCTGTTGCAGGGTTATAACAAAGCAGTGGATTGGTGGGCACTTGGTGTCCTCATCTATGAGATGGCAGCTGGCTATCCTCCATTCTTTGCAGACCAGCCCATTCAGATCTATGAGAAAATTGTCTCTGGGAAGGTAATATTTCAGCCGGTGCCTTATTTGCTGCATGCAAGATATTACACCTGCCTGTTGTATATTATTGGTCTTTTATTTTACATAGAATAGAATCCAGACTTTACCTTGAGTGTGGGCTAAATACTTTTTTTAAAATATATATATATACATTTATAATGCTCACTAAAATTTGGATGTAACTTTTCCCTACCAAGTAAATGCTAGAGTAATTGTAGTTCTGTAAATTGTGAGTGGGCACCTTTAAACTATTCCTTTTGACAACATTTTGAATTTAACTTTTTGGCATTACTAACAGCTTTCACTGTAGTAGCAAAATGTATGGAAATTTGCATGGCTCCTCTTTTTCTGCATAATGTTTAAAAGAATAAAACCGGGCAAAGGGTAATCTTACTGTAACTGTAACCATAAAAGTGTGCGTTTTCAGGATTTCATTTGGAAGGACTAAATAGAAAAGAAACTCCAATCCTAGGCAAAAAATCTCTACTATCAACTGTTACTAAAACAACACTCTTATGCTAATTTTTTGATCATCTGCATCTAACCTTTTTTGACTTCTTCCCTCCTTTACCACTCTCCTGAAAAAGTTTCAAAGGGCCCTGCTTGTGCACATTATTCTAAAAAATATTACCTCTGATACCAGCACCATTTGAGGCAGAATAGAAGCCAAAAGTTAAAGTGTTTCAACCATTCAACACAACTCTTACTGTAATGAAACTTACCTTTATTGAAAAGCAATCAAGGATAATGTTTTATTAGGTGTACTGCTTCATTTAGTGTGGACCATTGTCTTGATTTGCTTTTGATTTGAAATTCATGCAGGTATTACAAGTTCCTACAGTATCCTTCAGCAAAGCAGCGTCCTAAATTTTAGAAATAGTTTTAATTCTTTTTACAAATAACAACAGAAGCATTGTGGCTGGACATGTGATATTATTTTTAACTTGTTGGGTTAATATAAAATATATCAGAACTTTGTGCTGTACTTTTGAACTGTAACAGTTCAATTTAATCAGTGAAAGAGTTTCTTTTTTATGTTAGAGTCTCCTATCTGTCATCTCCTCTGAATTGCATTTTATATTCTCAATTTTAAAAAAAATATTTTTGGAGAAAGTGCAGATGTGCATTAGGAAGTGCATAAGATGTAAAACATTCTTATCTTTCAATAGCTTGTTTTTCAGTGTTCTCCTCACAGTCCCTTGCCACAACCCCAGTCAGTTGAATTTTTGGTTAAGTTATTCTGTCAACTGGAAAAAAAAAACTTTTTATTCTGCTCAGATATTTATGTATGACATCTTAGTTTATTGCAGGAGCAAATTAAGTTAAATGAATCAAGTAACCAACTTCTGCAAATATATCAGATGTTTCTTAAAAATATTCCAGCTGTATGCATTAGGTAGGCAAATACTTAATTTAATGACTTGCATAAATTAGATTTGGCTTAAGGCATTTAACTTACTAGCCTTGATGCAACTCTTTCTCCATTAGAGTCTACCTACTTGAAAAAGAGAAAAGATGGGCCAAACTCAGATATAAACAATCTACTTTTGCTTTATCTTGTTTTACTTTTCTGACATCCAAGATCCAATTGCTAAAAACACATATTTGGATTTTAGAACCCTGAATCCAAAATATTTATTTTCTTTTGTTTTTTAATATTAGTACTTAACAACGCTTGTATAGTTCCAGGCAAATAAATTATTTTTTCAGTAGTATAATGTTAGACTTTTATCAGTCAATTGGGAGTCAGGAATATTTCAAGCCACACAATCTGCCTTCTGCTTGCCCTGATGTAAAGCTAAATACTAAATCCTACTCTGTAAAATAGTTTGGCAATCTATAAGAGTTTTATGGTGGAATATTTTTGAGAAGCAGGGCACTTTGAAAAAAGCACAAAAGATATATATTGTTTGCTAGTTTTTTATAAAAAAAATCCTTCTGCTTCTCTTGTGTCAGTAGTTCTTATTATACATCTGTACTTTTCCCATCTTCAAGTTCCTGAGAGGTAAAAATTCTCGTAAAAATAAGGTTTTGGGAATTCAAATACAAGATATATGGAAAATCTACCTGGAACTGTAGTTATGTGGTAAATGTTCTAATTTCAAAAATGTGTTAATGTCTTGAGCTATAGCATGCTCTCCACCAGCCTAGTCATTCCAAATATTCCTGGAGGGCACAAATTTGGGAATAGACCGCTATAGCATATGAGATATCATACTGCCTACCCTGTTCCTATAGCTTTGAGATTTCTTTCTGGAGACAGAAGAAAATCTTGGGTTTTTTGCATCCAGGTCCGCTTCCCATCCC